GCTCGGTGGATCGCGAAAATGTTACGGTGCTTCGACTCATGCATTTTAGATCTTTCGATCCTAAACAAACCGCCCGCCTCGAAACGACAGTTTTGAATGTAGAGAATTGACCGGGTTTCATTTCCACAAGGCTGCTTCCGGACCGCCGAGTTACAACTTCGAAAGACGTGATCGCTCAGTCCCTCGAATCGCATGGTTTGACTTAATCAAATATTTTGTTTACAAAGACGCGAAATTATTACATGTTGCAACTTACAGACTAGAGATTTTTGCCTTCTAATGTTGCACCTTGCAACTAGAGATTCTTCTTTTCTAAGACTACAAATTTAACCAAAGGATTGCATCTATGTGGGGGTCTTTGACGCGTCGTCGCGTTGTGACTCGATATCGATCGATAATAAACATAATTGGGCGATAGGTCGCTTATACTCCGATTTTGCCGTTTTAATTGAGACAACGCGCACTAATCCGTCTGAGCCCTCGTGACAACGTATGGCTCGCCCAAGCTCCCATTTACATGGGGGCAATGTTGAATTCCGGACTAGGACCATCGAGCCGACTTTAATTGAAGGCTGAGTTTTACGCCACTTGACTCGTTGTTGCAGCGTATTTACGTAGTCGTTTTGCTAAATTTTCCAAAATCGTTCAGTGATATGTCGGATCAGCTGCCATCGCGACAGTCGATTTTCTTGAATATGAAGGACCGAAGGTTTCGGGATCGCCGTGATAGCCGCGCCGATCAAGAAGTGCCCTGGTGTTGGAGGGTCGTAGTTGTCGAACGAATCCGTCAAAGCGCCGAGGGGGCGGGAGTTTAGGCAAGCCTCAATCTTGCACAGGAGCGTTGTGAACTTTTCGAACGTGAGCGTATGCGATCCAATGGTTCTGCGAAGATGGTGCTTGATGTTCCGCACTCCGGCTTCCCACAGTCCCCCGAAGTGGGGGGCGTGAGGGGGAATAAAGTGCCATGTAACCTTATCTGACGCTGTTCGATTTAGGAAGTCAGGGTCTTGAAGAGCCTTTCGATATGCAATGGTTAACTCGGTGTTTGCACCCGTAAACGTAGTCCCGTTGTCGGAATACATTGCTTCGGGTAGTCCTCTGCGAGCGCAGAATCTTGTGTAGGCGTCAAGGAAAGCGGAAGTAGAGTAGCTCCTTACGAGCTCGCGCTCTTGTCGCCAAACAAATGAATACGGCAATGTACGATTTACGTGAGGTGATGCCTCGACCTGTGGACGCTCGAGTGGCAATCGGGCCCGCGTAATCCACGCCGCAATGAAGGAAAGCTCGTGATGGAGCGAAAATTCTTGCCCGCGGCAATGGCCCCATCAATTGAGTGGGAATGGCTGCCCTTTCGCGCGCACAGGTGACGCAGCGATGTATTATCGATTTGACCAGATTGCGAGCTCGGAGTATCCAAAACTTCCGTCTTAGAGTAGCTAGCGTCAGTTGCACCAGCATGCAGTGATCGTGCGTGCTCGTCTTGCACAATCATTTTAACGACAGGATGGGGCACTAAGAGAATCGGATGCTTGACGCAGAATGGAAACGGAGCTCTTTCTATCCTCCCGCCTACACGAATTAGTTTGTCGCCGTCGATGAAAGGGTTCAAGGAGATGATTGCGCTTTTTTAAAAAAGCGGCCGTTGAAGGGCTCGCAGCTCCTCGGCAAATATTTCGGCTTGAACCGTCTGAAGCCAGAACAACTTTGCCTTTTGGTAATCGTTAGCCGTTAGAGCCTTTGAGTTTGGAAGGTCCGATAGTTTTTTGACTCGTTCCGATATCGGTGGATAAACCGCATGACGTAGGCGGTGATCCGGAGAAGTTTGGGCCACGTGGAGTATCGAGAAGCGAAATCCCAAGATTCTTTAGCCTGCGCGAGATTGACAGAGATTGATTTGGCTTCTGTTTGCGCGACTTCTGATGACGACGCGAGATCGGTCGGCCATTCGGAGGGCTCTAGACGTAGCCAATCAGGGTCGTGCCACCAAAGGAAAGTGGACTCAAAGTTTGTGCTGAGGAGTCCTCTTGATGCGCAATCTGCTGGATTGTCTTTGGTTGGCACGTGATGCCATTCGTCGTACGGTGCCCGAGATTGGATCGCGGCAATTCGATGAGCTACAAACGTCTTCCAATTAGACGGATGTTGCCTCAACCATTCGCGAACGGTGGTTGAATCTGTCCAGCAACGACGTCGGAAATTTGGATGATTTAGGGAGACGCACACCGATTCCACGAGGCGCGATAATAAATCAGCGGCCAGCAGCTTGAGCCGATGGATGGTCATGGGTTTGATGGGAGCAACCTTGGACTTCCCAGCGTACTCGCATTACTATGCGGTGGTCGTTTCCCCTGAAATTGATGTAACGCGTATGTAGACGACAGCGGCGTAAGCGACATTGGATGCGTCGGCGAAGCCGTGCAGCTCACACCGTGCTGTGTCGGAGCCTCGGTTTACCCATCGAGGTAGCAGTAGGGTAGACCGGGGCACGTTGCCACATCGGCTTTATTTAAAAAATTAATAACCAGAGGGCAGCACCCGTCATTCCCAAAACGTGTTAGTGTATGCCCATCTTTGGTGTGTTTACAGTGTTGAGATTGCTCCAGCCGTGTTGACGTAAAATCAACTTGAAAGTTCTTTGCGACCGTAAGTAAAATTTTATTGTCTAATATTCAACGTACTGGACATGAAGCTTATGTTTTTTCAGAATAGACCTTTATATTATCTTAAAGTATGTACTTTTACCTACCGCGTGTAATACCTAACCTTATGAATATCTCAAACGTGTCGGCCATGAGGCTGTTTGAAGTAAAAAAATGCCCTCGGGCCACGTTGTCACGAATTTGATAGGAATCTATTGCGAATCTTTGGATGACGATAACGAATAAAAATATTTTATGTTTAATCACCGACATGATTATAAAAAAAAATGTTTATCAATAAGTTGCGCATTCGAGTGGAATTCTTGTATTTAGATTAAGATGAAAACTTCGTGCTTTTTGTACTTTTTTGAAATAAAATAAATGTTTCTGTGAAGGATTTTACTTTTTTACATTGCAGCGTACTATAATATATTGATATTTACGTTGAATACAGTTTGGATAACATTTTGCATGCAATTACATTTGATGTGACAACGTGCCCCGTAACCGGGGCACGTTGTCACAAGCAACCTGTCGTTATTTATTGTTATGTAACAACTGTAGAGTAACAATTACACAAAATTCGATACTGTCTAATTGAAGCTGAGGGTTCACTCAAAATTTTGGCATATCAAAGTACTCTTAAATATTGAATGTAAAAAATACAAAAAATATGGAACCAAATGTGTGACAACGTGCCCCGGTCAACCCTAAATTCTCTAATGCAGCGAGTTGCTTGTAAATGAGCTTCTATCTTGTGAGGACAGAGTCTTCAATGATGTCGTCCCATTCGAGTTTGAGACGCCAGAGCTGCTGCATGAAGATTTTCGCGTTAATTGTAATCGGCGTGACCAATCCGAGCGGGTCGAAGAATTTGGCTATCGTGGATAAAATCGTGCGCTTTGTACGGGGAAGAGATTCCGGTAGCGAAACTTAAAACTTAAACGCGTCTAACGCTGGATTCCAAAAAATTCCAAGTACCTTCATGTTGTCATCGGGCTGCAAGACTTTGTTGCAGGCTAGTCCATGGTCGTCTGGCGGAATATCAGTGAAGAGTTCCGACCGATTGCTTGCCCACTTTCGAAGTTTGAATCCTCCACGCTGTAGGAGAGCGCAGAGTTGCTCACGCATGCATCGCAGAAGGGCCATGTCTTCTGCTCTATAGAGAACGTCGTCAACGTATGTGTTCAGGAGTAGAATAAGACAGGCAAGGGGGAAGTCGTGACCTTCATCCTCTATAAGTTGTCGAAGAACTCGTAGAACTTGCAATGGCGCAGGTACTTCGCCGTATGTCACTGTGAGCAGTCGATATTCTTCCACCGTTAATGGTTCCTTACCGTTCCAAAGGATGCGCTGATAGTCTTGATCGTGTGGATCGATCCAGATCTGGCGGTACATTTTTTCTATGTCCGCCGCGTAAACATATTGAAATTGCCGCCAGCGCATTAGGACCTCGAACAACTCAGTTTGGAGTTTAGGGCCTGCTAAAAGATGACTGTTTAGCGAAGTGCCATTTGAAGTTATGCTAGAGGCGTTGAAAACGACCCTGAGTTTTGTCGTTGCGCTAGATTCTCGAATTACAGGGTGATGCGGAATGTAAACAGTTTATGTACTTCCTGCGGACGGAGAGGAGGCGACGACTTTCACCATATGTCCTAGCTCTTTGTACTCTGAGAGAAAGGCTTCATATTCTCGCTTCAGGTCGGAGTGACGGTCCAGTCGGCGATTTAGAGAGGCGAGCATGCGTAGCGCTTGAGCTCGGGATTCGCCAATGTCTATGGGAGGGCCTTCCTTGAAAGGCAGCCGCACTATGTATTTTCCGCTTTGATTGCGGGAATGAGTTTTGCGGAAATGTTCCTCACATTGCTTTTCCTCGGATGAGAGTATCCTTTCGCGGGGAAATTCTTCGACCTCCCACAATTTGCGTAACTCTTGGTCCAAGGAACAATGCTGAACAGTGATAGAATGAGGTAGCGAACTCGTCGCGGAGGTGGGTCCGGAGATGACCCAACCAAAATAAGATTGTTGAGCGATCGGTTGTCCTGGTGAGCCTCTTCAAATTCCGTTCTGAATTATGCTGCCGTACAAATCGGCACCTATGAGAATGTCAATTGGATCGGCTCCTGTTGGATCGTCATCAGCCAAATTTAGTTGAGTCAGATGACTCCATTCTACGTCAAATTTGGCGCGTGGAGAAATGTATTTGGTTAGTGATTTTATTATAAAGGCGAGAGTGGAAAAGGTTGGTTCGGCGCGATCTCGTGGAGTAATGCAAATATTAGCCGCGTGACGGCATGTTTCAACCTTGACGCATCCTACCGCAGATATTGAAGTGCGGGTGCGGATGAGTTGCACACGCAGTATTTGTGCGAGCCTTTCGGAGATGAACGAAACTTCCGATCCTTGATCGAGAATGGCTCTGACGCTCAGTGTACGCCCAGACGGACAGCCTACGTTGACTCTCGCTGTAGCCAGCAACACCGGAGTAGGAACCGCGGTGATCGAAACGGCGGAGAGCGAATTTACCTTTGAAGCTTCGATTTCGGTGGACGGTTCGCTTGCAGAAACCGTCACGAGATTTGTACTCGAGGAGAGCGAGTCATCGTGCAACATTGAATGATGCTGACGCTGGCATGTGCGACACGTGAATTTACTTTTACAGTCCGTCACCGCATGCTTGGTGCTGAGACAATTGAAACAGCGTTTATTTTGCTTAACTATGTCGCGACGTTGACTCGGGCTCTTTTCGATGAACTTTGGACACTTATTAATAAAGTGAAACTTTTGACACAGTGGACAGCTCGGATTGGATGCTGTTGATGCGTTAGTGGTAGTGACTTTGAGGCCGCAATTGAATTTCGAAGAGTTGGTTGGCGCGAGTTTCTCGAGGGCGAGTGCACGCGATGATAAGAATCGATTGAGATCGTCGTACATTGGGGGAAGAGAGTCGTCGCTGAATTTCAACTTCCACGCTCGGCGCGTAGCGGGATCGAGTTTTTGGGATACGCAATACACTAAGATATCGCTTAATATTTCGTCGGATAAACGATCGAGACGCTTTAACGCCGCAAGTGCCTTTTCAGCTTGGTCACGTAACGCATGCAATTCCGTTGCCGATTCGCGAGAAACGTTCGTCAGATTGCACAGCGCCGAAACGTGAATCTCGATTAATGGACGTTTATTTTCAAAACGCGTGGTGAGCGCTTTCCACGCTACGTCGAAATTCTCCGCGGTAATAGTTAGACTAGCGATTGCATCACGAGCATGGCCGGTTAAACTAGACGTGAGAAAGTGCATTTTGCTAAAATTTGACAATTCCTTATTTTTAATTATTAGCGCTTTAAATCGATCTCGAAAACTCTCCCATTCTTCGAATTTACCTGAGAACGGCGGCAATTGTATTGGGGGCAAGTGCATTAATGACAGCGACGCTGATTCGGATCGCATAGTCGACGACGCGAAGGATTGATTTGGATTGATGACGGGCTCCAGTTCTTCCAGTTGTTCCGCCATATAATCCAGCGCCTCCTAATAATAGTCCAGATAGTTTCCAATTGGTTGGTGGCGAAGTAATCCACGGCTTTCCGTTTGTCCTCAGAATAAGCGTAAAGGAGAGCCGCATGACCGTTGACGCACTGCGCCCACGTTTCTTTGAGCGATGTGATCCGCGAACGAATTTTCGCAGGAGTATAGTTATTTCGGCCCATCTTCTTGAACTTGTCTAACGATCGGGCGACAGAATAGAGCAATGACTGTTGCTTTGCAATGAGTTCACTCATGGCGAATGGTTTTCTGCTTTACGTGTACTTGAGTTTTGAAGCACTTCGATTTTACTGTAATATTATGTGTTGAACTGAAACACTCAGTGTAAGCGACTATTTCCAAGACGCTTGGTATGTTCCCGAGTCGCAACGTAAACACTTAATCCGGCTCGAAAGACCAACAGTTTTTGTAGCAAATTCCACCGCGTTCGCTCAAGCAGGCGAGAAGGGGTGGAAAGAGAAGAAATGCCGGAACTCGTCTCGAGTGAGGCGATAAGGTTTCGGGACTGGGAAAATCCGGAGAATAACTTGAAATGTCCTCACTTGATATAACACACTTTAATGTTTATTACAGTGGCCTGCGTAGTACTTCGCAAGGCACTAAATTTCGCTGTACCGCAAATCGAAGCGCGTAAGGCGTGCCGCTTGCTCCGGAATGGAGACTCGCGTTGTGAACCAAAGTCGATTTTCGGTTTATTTTCGGTTGCACGATCGACGATACAGAGATACTTTTTCCGATCGACGACACGGCGATGTCCTTTAGAAAGTCAGCGATAAAACTGGGAGTGTCGAGCAACTCCACACTTTTCGGAGTAACAGTCGGAACTTTATTACTCGCGTCGGACCGTTCGCTTTTACCGAATCGCACGCAACTCAGACATGATCTGATCTGATCGCGCCGCG